GTATTCTATCATTCTTGGTTTGTTGTGATTGTAGCTTTTCGACATTAAGCTTTCCTTGCATATTTGGGCGCACATTTTTTCTGCACAGAGGCGGGTGCGTATCTTGGCTGCAACAAGATAGTAGTCCGAGTCGATGTTTGAGCCTCGGAGTGTACGTACGTCCAAAGCACTGGAAGCATGCCTTCCGTCTATCACAACATGATCGGTTTGGTTTCTCGTTTTTCGATCCGGAGACAGCAACGTAGCTTGATGAATGGGTCATGGGCGCAGATGAGCGAGATGTTGAAGAGTCTCGCTTCGATGCGGATTCTGGCTAGACTATCGTCCACCGGGGTGAACGACAGTACTCGGCGACGGAGTCTCTCTCTCACCACAAATCCAACACCGAATTTGCGCTTTTTTACATGGCAGCTGTAGTATACGTCGCAAGGCCCCAGGCATTGCTTGCCTTGCCCCATCCAATGCATTTCTTGGATGGCGGTGATGTCAGCTTTTGTTCATACGAGGACATCAACCAGCCGGGCATAGGCACCTTCCCTATTAATGGTCCGGACATTCCAGGTGCATGCCCTCAAATCGTAGTCCTTTAACCGAGGCATTGCTTCGCTTCTTGACTGGAAGGGGTTTTTACGTGGCGGGTCCCAAACCCAGCGCACAACCCATTTCTGGGACGGGGGTGGTTCCGCAACCAAATACATATTTATATAGCGAGCCGCTTGCTCCAAGACAGACACCCGCTTGAAGCCGCACCTACTGGTGAACAGACGCTGTAGATTTCAGTGAGCCCTTAAACCGAATAAGTCGAAGTGTCCCCACCGAAGCTCCCTCTCTTTCGGCCGTGACCCAAGGCTCCACTCGGATTGGTTACCGCATCTCGTACATGGGTTGTTCACGTTGCCAATGTGCGCGAACGAGGACGCAAGAGTCGGGGTTGAGTATAGCCGTGCAACTGTAACTGCATACCCAGCACAACGACTATAACCCATTGCACTCCACTCCATAAAAGAACATGCTTTGACGAAAAAGAAAGAGACCGGGAGTAAACACATTTCATCATCCTGATGTTTGTAACGAAAGTGAATTTTTGTTTGGGAATCTGTTGAAAATTATGCGAATTTGTCGATAAATCAATGAATAGCTCTTAAACTACTCATCCTTGTAGAAAATGTATTTGACATACGTAGATGATAAGACAATTTGACAGGCTTTGGCTTTGCTAATGTAAAAAATTAAGATTTCCCAAGTAAATCCAAAGAAAATTTAAGTAACTGCACTGTTTTGAGATCTTACAAAAAAACGAAATTTATATCTCAAACGCTGTTCCACCTTCTTATATTCCGATTTCGTATTCAGATCCAGCGGAAATTTTTACATTCCAATTCTAATAAAAATGTTGCAGGCCGGATAATTATTTTACTTCTCTAAACTTTTGTGATAATCAAAAATGTTTATGAAAATGACGAATAGACAGATTTGGATGGTAGGGGAGAAGAGGAGCTGGAAGGATCCCGTGATGCAGCCACCGCCTTATGGTGAGTTCTGCTGAGAGCCGCAAAATATTCATATCTGGAAAATTGTTTCTGAGGTCCACTTCAAGCGTATAGTGGGGACACAAGACGTTAACGTGGGTTTCCGTGAAAGTTTGTTTCTAACCGAAATGTCACAATTATATCGCCCGAACATGATCCAATAACGAAAAACGGGTTTTTCACTCCACCTTAATGTACATAAGTAATGTATTAGACTGACCAAAACAAAAAAATAAAGTGCTTAATTTTTTGAGTCTCTTGACTTTTTTGCTTCCATTATGGCTAAAAACTATCTCCTGCAAAATTTGGTACAAAAATACTTAAATGTAGATTCTCGCGAGGACGTTCCGTGCGTTCTTGACATGCACTCTATCCGATGCAATTCTCAAACAGAATTATTGTACCGCAATAAAAAAAAAATAAATATAACTGAAAGTCCTCTCGACTGGTGCAGCGTCAATCGAAAAGAATTTACAATTTTGTCAAGTTTCAAGTTCCGAGGCGACAGCAGGTTTGATTTACGACCCTTTAAAAACTTTTTATTAATAACAATGTTCCAATTTTTAAATTCAAGTACTAAAAAAAATATTATTAAAAATTACTAACCTTTCTTTTTTTTTATTTAACTAAATCATCTAATTTACTCACATAAACTATTTCTTAAAAATACTTGAAATCCGCATTCGCATCCGCGGATGCTAGCTTTTAAACATCCGCATCCGCATTCGGATCCGTGGATATCTAAAATTCCACATTCGCAACAGCCCAAGTACAGACCCCGCAAACATATTCTGAACGTTCAGAATACATATATGAGTCCGAAAGGGGTCCTATGTATGTAAGAAATATAAGCTTCTAAGGCTGCGTTTCACCAGATTCCTTTAAGTGAAAATTAGTGATTTTCGAATTTATGGTTTCACCAATCAATTTTAATTTTGATTTAAGTGACCTATGCTCTTCATTTAAATAAAAATTAAATGAGAATAACCACACTCAGAGATGTTACACGTTTAATCAGCTGATCAATATACACACACCACGATTTTGTGTATCTGCTGCTTACTTGTATACCAGCCCTGCTTTTACAACACGGCGTGCCAAAGCTTTTAAAAGCTCTTAGTACAAATTAAAGCCTTCGCTGGTCAAATCTGTTGTACAACCACTTTTTACTCACTTAAATAAAGAGCTTATTGAAGCTGAAAATATTTTAAATGAGAATTAAATAAAAAAGTTAATTTAAGTTAATTTCCACTTAAATGAGTTTGGAGAAACGCAGGCTAAAAATACAAAACTTTGCTTCATATATGAGTCACTTAAGGCTCTTTTATGATCCAAATTATCAGTCGGCACTTTGTTACAATAAAAAACCATAGAGATTCTGTAAAAAGTTACATAAATAGAATTTGGCAGCAACTGCTGTTTTTTAAGGTACTCATGTACATAAGAGATGTTTAATTTTTTTAATCTATTTTATATTACATCTTTACAGAAGTCAATAGCAGCAGCAACGAAGAAAGAAATCAAGAAAACAAAAGTCCAAGCTGCGTACATTGTATGTAGTGCTGCCGCTGTCACTTCAATTGAAGTTTTTCACTTAACTTTAGAAGCCTTCACTTCGTCACTGCATTTCACTTCGTTTTACTTCACTTTCTACAAGTTAGATTTATCTTTAAATTGAATAAAAATTTTTTTGAAATATATTATTTATTTAACCAAAATCAACAATCTTTTGCTAAACTTCTTGTTAAATAGTATTATTATTATTATGAGCCTTGAGAACCCTAATAAATCTTCGATCTGGCATCGGTTATTTGGAAGAAGTCCTTTTGATTTTCATTTTCACATATATAGTTGTAAAACGAACAGAAATGAATGAGTGCATAAAGTTTCATAATTATTTAGTAAATATTTAAGGAAAATAACAATTACTTTTTAGTTTTCATACATCTTAAACTTTACAGCAACAAGTAAGAAAGTCTAAGTTCGGGCGGAGCCGAACATTAAATACCCGGCGCAAGTATTAAATATATGTTGTTCACCTTTCCGAAAGCTACCACCGCTAGATGGTAAGCCGGGGTGTATCAATTTTGAGTAAATTAGCGTCCTTAAATTTCGAAATATTGAAGTTTCAAGCATATCTGAAATTTACCGTAATATGAAAAGCGGCCGTAATTTTAGTCCGATTTCAACAATTTTCAGCGTTTTGCTTCTATGTGGCAAGTACAATAACCACACCGAGTTTGGTACAAATTGGTAGAACGGTTACCGAGATATATATATATGATCATAAGTGGGCGGTGCCACGCCCATTTTTTTAAATTTTATCATAAACGTATTTCTTGGTAAAGAATTGTTGCAAGCATTAATTTTGAATACACTAGCTTCAATATTTACCGATTTATCGAAGATTTCGTATTTCTCTAAATTACCGTTATATGTGATGTGGGCGTGGTTATTGTCCGATTTTAAAAATTTGCGACCATTTCGTAGTTTATGTCAAGGCCACCAATTGTGTGTTTGGACGAAATTGGTGCAGCGGTTACCAAGATATACACATATAACCATAAGTGGGCGTGGTTACGCCCATTTTCCAAAAATTTATAATATTCTTATTTCTCATCTAAAACTTATTGTAAATATCAATTTTGAGTGAATATTCTTCAGTAGTTACTAAAATATCGCAGTTTTCGTATTTCTGAAAACTACCGTTATATGGGAGGTAGGCGTGGTTATTGTCCGATTTTGCCCATTTTCAATACCATCCGTCCTACGGCAGAAAAGAAGTGCACGTACCAAGTTTCGTTGAGATATCAAAATTTTTACTCGAGTTATCGTGTGCACAGACGGACGGACGGACGGACGGACAGACAGTAACCGCTTAATCAATTTCTCTTTTCATTCTAATCATTTATGTATACATTTGTCTATATCTATCTCGATTCGTTTTGCCTGTTACAAACAACCGTTATGTGAACAAAGTTATAATACCCTTGTGCACAAGTGCGCTCGGGTATAAAAAGGAAACATTTAAGTGAATCTGGTGGTGACGTTGTTGCTGTGTATCTGGGGATGACTTTGTTGCTGTGAATCGATAATCGATTAATTATATTTTAGTGTTAATATCCTCAGTGTACTGCAATTTTTGATTTTCTTTCCTCAACGTTTGAGACATTGCGATTTTAAGGATATTCCAGCACTAAACACAATAAATTATAAATTAATAAAGGTTTAAGATCACTTTTATGGTGATAAAAATATAATCGATTAACCAATCAGGTGATAAATAACCTAAGCGAAAAACTCCACACCCCTAATTATGCATGGAAGTCGTCACATCGATAACACTGTGCGACACTAAAAAATAACTGGGAAGTTATGTATATTTTCTGGTAGTCCTTTCGAGTAAAACAAGAATCGAAATATGAAATTTGCCAAACACCCCCAAGATCTTGATGTACCGTTAAAAAGTACCTTCATTTGCGTTTGGACTTCTTCCCACATAATTTGGGCCAGTTCAGTGATGAGCAAAGCGAACGCTTTCACCTAGAAATAGCTACAATTAAAAAACGTTTTGGAGGAAAAAAAATAAAATCACAATAATAATAAGGCCAACAACCGTGCCAAGTTTGAGGGAAATTGGTGAAGCGGTTACCGAGATATACAGATGTAATCATAAGTAGGCATGGCTACACCCATTTCCCAAAAATTTATAATATTACTAGCGGTACTCCGGTGTGCTTCTCTACACCAAATTTTGAAAAATATTGAAAAATGAATGAAAAATCCTGGAATTTTTCTATATGATTTTTTTACTGTATTGCAGCCATGTTTATACTTGACTTAATTTATCCGAAGAAAAAACGGCACGTCATAGCAACAATTTTTCACTATGTTTTCGATTTTTCATGTATCTGCTGTTGTACTATATACGTGGTTCATGTGACAGACATAAACAGTCATATATCATGAACCGCCGGACCGAATTCGGACACACTTCACATAACCCATCTGCACTATAGGCCGAATATACTGTTTAAATTTGGTAGAATTCGTGCACTTTTTTTATTTAAGATGGGAGGTGCCACGCCCCTTTTTCCAATACCGCACATTTTTCTCCATGAGTATGGAATTATTTCATATTTCTCTATACCAATTTCCAGTAATCTACCACAAATATTTCAAGAGATATACCAGATGAAATTTTTGGTTAGTATGGCTGGTGCCACGCCCCCTTTTCCGAATTCGGGGAAACTTAACACAAACCATCTGTATAATAGCCCGACTGCCGTATAAATTTGGTTGAAATCTTGCACTTATTTTTTATATATAATACGGGAGGTGCCACGCCCTCTTTTCCAATACCGCCCATTATTCTCCGTGAGTATGGAATTATTTGATATACCTCTATACCAATTTCCAGTACTCTACCACAAATATTTCAAGGATAAAACAACATAAAAATTTAAGTTAGTATGGGAGGTACCAGGCCCCCTTCTACAAATTCGGGCAAACATAACATAACATAAACCATCTGCATGGTAGCCTGAATATGCCGTATAAATTTGGTTGAATTCGGTGAAGCCGTTCGCAAATTATAAACTCACACCAAAAACATGTACTTATTTTTATAAATAAGATACACATGCCACGCCCCCTTTTCCAAATTTAGGCAATCTCCACATAAAATATCTGCATGATGGCCCGAATATGCTATATAAATTTGGTTGAATGCGGTGAAGCCGTTCTCAAGTTATAAGCTAACTCACTAATTTTTATATATAAAATAGAGGCACCATACCCCCTCCTCCGAATTCAAGCAAACTTCACATAAACCATCTGCATGATAGCCCGAATATGCCACATAAATTTGGTTGAATTCGGTGAAGCCGTTCTCAAGTTATATGGTCACACCAAAAACGTTCACTTATTTTTATATTTTAGTTAGTATGCGTGGTGCCACACCCCCTTTTCCGAATTCACGAAGCCGTTCTCAAGTTACGAGGTCACACCAAAAACGTGCACTTATTTTTATATATAAGATTATTTGTCGTCTCAAAATCCTTGTAAATATTAATTTTGAGTGACCAAGCTTCACTAGTTAGCAAAATGTCTCGATTCTTACTTCACTCGGCAAAACCTACCCGAAAAATAACATGACTTAACAGGTATTTTTACTTCATTATTTTTTGTAGCATTGTGTGATAGAGTACCTAAATTAGTACTTTCTCTATTTAATTTAAAAACTTATTAAATATAATAAAATAACACTCAAGGAAAAAGACATATAGAAGTATAACGAATAATCAAAAATAATTTGCTACATACATACATCATTTATAAGTATTTGTTATTATATCTGATTTCTTCTTTTAATGGTAAATGAGATGATTTCTTAATTGTTTCTAATTACTTTGATTACTAATTATTTAAATATTTGAAACCAGGGTACGAAAATAAACTATATTGTACGTTATTACTTCAACAGTTCGGTACAATACGAAAACAAAACGGCCGAGTTCACTTTGGCGATAGTACACTACAGTAGTTTGGTAGTTACAGACGAAACAACAAACGAAATGAATCGTGCAGAGAAAAATATATGTATGTATGTATACATATGCAATAACTAAACACAAAACGAATCGCTGCAATGAATAAAAAAATAAAAATGTTTTTTAATTGAATTGGATATGAAAATTTACAGAAAAAAATATTTTTCACGTAATTGAAACGTTTGTGATATCACCCTATGGTACAATTGTCACAAACGAAAAGCAAACGCTTCTCGTGTGTGTTTCTGACTATGTACAAAACTGTACAAAACCACAAATGATATGATGATCGATGAGCAAATGGGAATTGTTTTGTAGCTTATTTTCGTACTCTGGTTATTAGAACATCGCAAAAACTGGTATCTGAACAATCAGTGGTACAGGAGATAAAGCTTATACAGCATAGATTTTCTCAGTAGACTGTGTAAATTCATGGGTTTTAGCTGTCCATATAAAGGAGTTTCACGGTAAAACCCTATATCTGAACAATCAGTTGTATGGAGGTAATAAAAAGGTTATTGTGACCCGATCTTTGCTCATTTCACTGTAAACTTTCTGTTGATAATGAGTGAAAATATTGCGAAATTTCATGTGCCTATCTAAATAAATGGAGGAGTTATAACGAAAACTCTCATAACTGAACAATCAATTGCATGGGAGATATATGTTATAGTGACCCGATCTTTGTTATTTTCACTGTAAGTATTCTGTTAATAATGAGTGAAAACGGTGCGAAATTTCATATTCCTAGCTGCATAAATGGAGAAGTTATAACAAAAAAATCTCGTATCTGAACAATCAGTTATATGGAGGCTGTATGTTAGAGCCACCCGTCTTCGCCATTTTCACTGCAAGTATTCTTTTCATAATGAGTGAAAACAGTGCAAAATTTCATGTTCCTATCTACATAAATGGAGGAGTTATAACGAAAAATCTTATATCTGAACAATCAGTTGTATGGGAGCTATAGAGTATAGTGACCGATCTTTGTAATTTTCACTGTAAGTATTCTGTTGGTAATGGGGGGAAGTATTGCAAACTCTCACGTTCATAACTGCTTAAATGGAGGAGTTAAAGCGAAAAATCTCTTATCTGAAGAATCAGTTGTATGGGAGCTATATGTTATAGTGGCCCGATTCTTAAATGGAGGAGTTATAGCGAAAAATCTCATATCTGAAGAATCAGTTGTATGGGAGCTATATGTTATAGTGGGCCGATTCTTCCGGTTCCGACAAATGATTAGTGCATTATAAAAATACACCCACCTACCAAATTTTATCCGGATATCTCGAAAACTGAGAGACTAGATTGCATACAAACTGACGGACAGATGGACATGGCTAAATCGACTACGCTCGACGTTCTGATCATTTAAGTATACATTTCAATGGGTCTATCTCTTCTAATTGTAGTACTTACAAACATCGGACCAAAGTTATAATACCATTTCATGCTCATGAATGGTATAAAAATAGGGGTATACTTTTTTCGATATAGAACAATCCTAAGGGTTGAGAGTATTACAATTCCGACTTTACTGTGTACATAAGCATGCCTTGTAAAACTTTTTTTTTAAGTCAAATCTGTGCACATTCAGTTTACACATTAAAAAACTAAGAATAACTTATATTTTTGATCGAAAAAATTAAAATCATAGTATAACGATTAAAAATAATAAAAAAAAATAAAAATCATAAAGTAACGATTAAAAATGATCGAAAAAATAAAAATCATAACATAACGATTAAAGATGATCGAAAAAATAAAAATCACGAAATAACGATTAAAAATTATCGAAAAAAATAAAAATCATAAAATAACGATTATTTTTGACCGAAAATATAAAAATCATAAAATAACGATTAAAAATTATTGAAAAAATAAAAATCAAAGAATAACGATAATTTTTGATTGAAAAAATATAAATCATAAAATAACGATTATACAATGATTTTTAAACAGGGACCCAACCGGTTATGACTTTTATAATAAAAGTTTCGAGAAAAAAGTTATTTTGTGACTTTTATTTTATGAGAAAAAAAAATTACTTTTATAATTTGACTTTATTTTTTCAGTCAAACATTAACGGTTAAAATG